GGACGTTCTGAGGTCACTTCAGGTGAGTGGTCGTGGCCACCAAGACAGTGTGCGTGGGAACAGGAGTGAACTCAGCAGGGTCACACTGGGAAAGAGACGGGTGATGATGAAAACAAAACAAACAAAACCATGTGCTCCGTCCTTCACACCTCGTGCTGGGCCCGTCAGCACCTGGTTCCTCCCCGGGCCAGGCACTGCGAGGCTCGGGCACTGGGCGCCCCCTGTCCTGCTGTTGCCAGACCCGGGCGCGTTTCTGTCCTTTCCGGGGGGGCCTGACCACAGCGGATGCGTCAGTCACTGCTGGGGGAGGCCAGAGCAGCAGCTGAGAGCAGCCCACACCCCTCCCCGCGGGAAGGCCTTGCTCTTTCATCCTGGTGTTTTGGCCCCAGGAGACGGGAGGGTCCCTTCTCCAGCGACTGCCCGGGTCGGCTGTACCAGACTCTGAGATGCTTCCTGAAAACAGTGTTTCCTGGATTGACGTATAGAATTTACAAAACACTGATTTTCTTCAAGGGTCTTTTCAGTTTACCTTTTAGTATTTGAGATCCACTCTGGTTGGCACAGGGTCTGAGCCTGGCATTTGGGAGACATCTTCAAAACCGTCAAGGGAGCAAAACAGTGGACATCCACCCAATGACCAGGCACTTCATTCACGTCATCTGCATTTCTCTAATGTTTAACGTTGTTGGTGACAGGACCAGCATTCTCCTGACATCCAGGGCAAGTTGGAGCCGTCGGTCTCCTCATGGGCTGCTACACAGCCAGGAGTGACAGGAGCATCTGGCCCGTGCGGGGTGGGTCTCTCGACGTTCCTGCCCCTCTGGGAACCCAGAGTGAACACAGTGAAAGCTGATACCAGGCGGCGCAGTGTAGAGAAGCCTCATGCACTTCACCTTGACCCTGCCTCCTTGGGGGCGCAGGCTGTGCATGCACGGGGCGGCTGGGGTGGGGGGCGGTGTGGCCGGAGGTGGCTGCACTGAATGATGCTGGCGTGCTCTCTGAAGTCCAGCTTCTCCGCCGCTTCGGTAGTGACTATGTGAAAGCCCTCGGCCTTTGACACTTCAATTTCCTTTGTCAGAAATGTGTGCGTTTGAGTCTTTGCACATGGCTCCTGGGCTCCCTGGCTCTTAACCTTGACACCCACGCAGGGTCTTCCTTGGGCATCTGTGGTGGGCAGGTCAGCCTGCTGCTCAGAGGGGGCTGTGTGCTGGCCTAGCCCATCCAGCTCAAACATGCCCCGGAGGCCGGGAAGGGTGCAGCTGGCCGGAGGCTTCGTCACGTGTCCCGTGCCCGCAGCTGCATGTGGTGCCTGACGGCTGTGCAGCCCAAGGGAACACACACAGGGCCCAGGTGCTGCCCGGAGAGCCGGCCCATTGAGCGCCAGTCGCGGTGGGTCCTTCTGTTATTGGAAAAACCATGTCAAATGTTTCACAAAAGTGTTTGTACAGTTCCTTTGCTTGGGGTGATTTGCGTAGGGAAGAAGGTGAACACTGGTGTCGGTGCAGAGAACACGTACAAAGTCCAGGCTGGGAGCTCCTGTCCGAGCAGTTACAGCGCTACAGGCTGCGGTAGCTGAGCAATGTCTGAAAATGTAAGTAACAGTAACAAGATAGGGCTTCCTTGGACTACAGATCCCTCTGACAAGATAATGGTCTGTGCTTTAAGAGAGAATTTGGCATATCAAAATATGCACAAAATGTAAACGATGAAGACATTTCTAATAACAGTGCTGCCTAAAATTCATCAGGACCTAGAAGAAAACAAAGATTCTTTCTCCTCAGCTTGTATCAGCTCCATGTAAGGTCTAAATGGCTACACACAAATCAAACTTTAAAGTTACCATAAGTTTTAAAAAGTGTTTAACTAGAGCTCTGGCCGGTTTGGCTCAGCGGTTACAGCATCGGACCAAAGAGTCGCAGATTTGATTCTGGTCAGGGGCACGTGCCTCGGTTGTGGTTCGTCCCTGGCCCTGGTCGGGGTTGTGCGGGAGGCAGCCAGTCGGTGTGTGTCTCTCTCTCCCTCCCACTCTGTCTGAAGGTAAATGGAAAAATGTCCTTGGGTGAGGATTAAAAAAGAAATTTAACTAGAAAGATATTTTTCTTACAAGAAATTTAATGAATGCATTTATTTAATATGAAATTAAACACTACATACTTATTTTTCTTCTCGCTTTTGAAAATCATTTCTACGAACAAGTGTAGCACAGTTACAGATTCAATTCCTTTACAAATACTGCTTTTTGTAATATGATAAACATTTTCTTCGGCTTGGTAAGTTAAAGGCTACTTGCCAGGCCTCCTCTATGAGCTCATGTCAGTACGAGATTCATGGAACGTTTGTTCCCGTGGCCCACGCCACGGAGCGGCCACGTCCGTGACTGGGGTTGGGAGCCCAGGGTCTCCAGCCTGCCCTCGGGGAGGGAGCCGCCCGGGAAACAGCTCTGTGTCAGCTGGACGATGAATTTGAGTCATCTCTGGTGACAGACCTGGGCCCTCTCGAGACAGGCAGCTCCCCTCCCGTGGATTCTGCTTTGTGGCGTCGTCTGCGGGACGGTGTGTGGACGGAAAGGAACATTCTGGATCTGTTTTCCTGTTAAATTCTCTGTTTTCCACCTCTTTTAGCCTCAGTAAAGCTGCCACTGACTGTGAGGGGAGCCCTTTGTCTGGGCACACAGCAGGGTCCCCCCTAATCCTCCTCACTGCACGCGAGTGCCGTGTACCGACTTAATCTGTGGACACGGCTGCCCTGTCACACGCTGATTCTCCTTCTCTGTGAGCAGGCGTCTCCCTGGCCCAGTGATGGATGGCTTGTTCTCTGAACAGTGGCCGCGGCGTGAGTGCCCCGGGGTGCAGACAAGCGGTGGGAACGGGCGGATCTGACGGCGGTTCAAGTTCACCAGAACCCGGCTCCGGGAAAGGATTATCCACACTCGCATTGTGGGGGAGCGTGTTCTCCATCTCAGCTGCAGGGCTTGCTCATGCTGGCGGGCGACGCACCACAATAAAGAGATTTATTTTCCCTCATCTCCCTGCTCTGTCACTCCACACCCAGTGTGTGCTGAAGGCAGGGGATGTGTGTGCCCGGACGGCAGACAGTGCCCTGGCCGCACAGCCCGCGTTAACCAGGGCCTGACGCTCCTGGGGGGAAAGGGCAAAACGGAGTCTCCTTCAGGGCTACTCCTCTCCTGACACCCTGTCACTTCACAGCAGAACCTTAAATTAAAAGTTGGTTATTTAGTTCCATCTAGAAAAATGATAATGGGTTTTTTTTCCTAAAAATTACTTGAAAATCCTCCAGTATCCATCCGTTTTGCTGTAAGAAATAAACATTAAAGAATAAGGGAGGAGCCTGGCCAGTGTGGCCCAGTGGTTGGGGTCGGCCGGTGCACCAAGGCGTCTGGTTCGACGCCGGGTCAGGGCACCTCCGGGGTTTCTGGCTCAGTCCCCAGGAGGGGTGTGCAGGAGGCAGCTGAGCCATGTTTCTCTCACTGATGCTTCTCTCTCTCCCTCTCTCTCTAAAGTCAATATAAACATATTTTAAAAAAGAATAGGGAGAAATGAGAAAAGCGAAAGATATCACTTCACTAATTTTATCAAACACCCAGTTTACATTAAAAACCCTGAATTGTCCCCAAAATGTGATTTGGGTTGCGGTCCCGGTTTCAGCGATAAGGCCGGCGGAGCCATCAGCAGCCTCTCCGAGGCCTCTGCGTCCAGTCCCGCCAGCGGGGCGAACGGTCAGCAGCTCCCCGCGGCTCTGCCCAGGCCCATCATTTCGCTCAAGACCGCAACACTGCGGGGTCGCAGTCCTGCCCCCCTGAGGCTCTGAGCGGGGACTCCCTGCAGCGCCCACAGGACGGGCCGGTGTGCTTCTTCCCTCCCCCCGACACCGGGCTGGGGTTCCCCACAACAAGGATTCCTGACGGTTCCCGGATTCGCTTCCGTCCTGACACCGTCCACCTGCAGCCGGCCAAGACCCCACCGCCAGGGGCTCGTCCCACCCGCCGGCCCCATGGCAGACGCCCAGGCCCGGGAAATCGGGGTCCCATGGCCCCTCCTTGGGCGTGATGACAGGCTGGAACGGCCCTGGTTTACGATCAGAGGATCTGACGCCGGCGGTGGACGGACATTCACGGGTCGGGGAGGTGGTGCCGAGCCCCCTCCTGGTGCGCCACCCTCCTGGCACCCCAGTCCGATCTCAGGGCACAGTCCACCTTCTCTCGCTCTCGCCTCCCGCTCCCCAGAGGCCGGGGTGGGGCTGGAAGGTCCAGGGTTCCAGTCTGGTCTTTCTGACGACCGCCCCTCCCGCAGCACCGGGCCACCTCACCAGAACAGATTCCCATCACCCGGGACACCCAGGCCGAGCCCTGTGCCCGCTCTGTCCCCGGGGCTGCGTGGGGCGGGTCGTGAGCACAGTCCTGCTCCTTTCCGGGAAGACCGGTCGCTGCACTGTTACTATGTTGCTGTTTAAAAGCTTTTAAAGAACCACCTTTACGGGATGTGTGGTTTTCCTTCCGGCCGGGTTTGCCAAGAGCTCTCGACCGCGGACTCACTGCCGATTGTAAGTAATTTTTCTAGATCGTTTCATCTTATGATTTCCCTTTATTTTGTGAATAAGATGATTTCCCCCCACTTCTTTAATAGACTCGTCGGTTTGGGTCCTTCAAGAAACAAATGCCAAGAAGGACTCAGACAGGCTAGACGTGCCGGGGCGTGGCTGGGGCTGCGTGGTGACGTACAGGGGCGTGGCTGGGGCTACGTGGTGACGTAAACGAGGAGTGATGGGCTGCGTGGTGACGTGCCGGGGCGTGGCTGGGGCTACGTGGTGACGTAAACAAGGAGTGGTGGGCTGCGTGGTGACGTACTGGGGCGTGGCTGGGCTGCGTGGTGACGTAAACGAGGAGTGACTGGGGCTGCGTGCTGACTGGGAGGCGGGAGGAGAAGGCCCAGGGCCTCGGCGCTGACACGTGGGCCTGAACCCGCCGGCCTCACCCGCTCCCCTCACAGCGCACCGGCCAGGCAGTCTCTCCGCCCGCAGCCCCCGGGGGCCAGGCTGGGAGGCTCCTGGCAGGGGGGGCCCGGCACCTGTGAGCGGCGAGCGGCCGCCCCGTCGCCACCCCAGACGGCCGAGGACTTGTCTGCTTTCTCGGTGGAAGGAAGGTCTCGGCCGAGGAAGACGACGGCGCAGTCATCACACTCACGCGCCGACCCCTCCCCGGAGCTGGGGGATGTCTCTGCGGTCCACAGGGCCCTGGGGGTCCGAGCTCGTTGCCAGTCACCCAGCCCGACAGAGAAGCTCGTCCGAGGACGAGGCCTCCGCCCCCGCAGAGCTTTTCAGGAAACTGCCACGTGAAGAAACACGGAGCCCGTTTGTCCTGTGTCTGACAGCAGACACATTTCAGCGAGGGTTTGGCATTTCAACTCGGGTCATCGTTTTTAAGGACTGACTATTGGATAAGTAGACCTGTCGCCTAGAACATACCCCAAGTCCCTGATTTTCAAGGACTTAGTAATGAAACACACTTATGGAATTTCTAAAATCACGGCATCGAGGATCCCTTTCGTGGGGACACATGTCCTCTCTGCCTTACTCAGTTGTCTGCATGTGCATTTGTTTGGCTCACATTCCTGAGAGCAGGCACCGCACAGTCACAGCTCCGGGCACTGGGCACACGGCCAGGACATGCCTGTCCTCAGCTGGGTGCTCCTCCAACCGGCGCCGGGACGCAGGGCAGACGGAGAGTTCCCCCCAGCGAGGGTGACACCGGCCGGGCAGAGCCTGAGGACACGCTGTGGGGGGGATGGAGAGGGTCCTGGGGGCGGTCACCACTTGAAGTAGTTATGATAAATCTCATCACTCAAACAAAGTGCAGTGTACTGGCTAATCATGCTGATAAAAAATACACTAAATGAACAGAAACGACTAAAATGTTAATGCCGAAAATTTAAAAGAAGCCAATTCAAGCACACGCCTCACAAAAGGCAAAAGGCCGGAGGATGGGAAAGCAGGACGATTCTACACGTGGAAACACCCAGGAGGGAGAAGCCTCACCCCTCAGGCCCCCTGAGGGAAGGGTAAGCAGCCGCTTGGGGTTGCTCCAGAGGGTCGCTCGGCAGAACAGGGCTGATCTGCTCATCGGTTACCTGATGTCTCCGACGCTCACAGGAACTCTCGGTATTTTCCAGGTATCATTTGCTACCTGGAGTCAAATTGACTGATTTAAATCCAAATATGCGCTGAGCAATCTGTAAAACAGTGATCGGTGGGCAAGTCACACAACCTCACGTTTCCATACAAATAATACTGAGAATGATGACTCCCAGCCTCACACACCTTGCAAACCGACTGCCAGTCTCGGTGATGGGAACACTCGTGAGGAAAATGGCCCTAAGCCAGGTCGCACGTTGGGGCGTCGCTTAGTTTTCACCACCTTCGTGTTGTCCGGCAATTTCATAAACTCCCCCAGGACGTGAGGTCCCACACTGGCCCACCTATCCACGGTCTTGTCCTCTAAACTCCAAGAAACAGGAGTGGGGGTTGTGTGACGTGGTGGAGGCTTGGGCTTTGGGTCGCCTTGTTTGCATGGGAAGTGCCTGACGGTGTTGGCCTGTAATGGAACCCAAAATCACAATTCTTTCATTAAAATGCTCACATCGAGCTCGGGTCGTGGCGTGCCGGACGCATTGCGTGTGGGGGCTCCCTGCCGCACCCCAGGTCACACATCCTTGTGAGCCCTGACGAAGCCATTTCCGGGGTGGGCGTCCATGTTTGCCGAATGCCCCACACAGTACTTGACACAGAAGTGCAAAGTAAAAGACAGTCTGTCACTGTGAGTGATAAGAACGGGTCTGGAGATGTCTCTGTGCAAAGCGAAAAAAGTCCCGCAGGGGTGAGAGGATGTTCAGGAGGCAGGTGTCCGGGACCCAAGGGAGAGAGTCGCTGGGGCAGCTGCCCTTGGACATTTAAAGAGATCGTGTTGAAGGGACTGTCTCCATGTCCCGCAGACAGAGTTGTAATTCATAGGACAGACCTGGACCAAATCTAAGACCTTCATGAAGGAGTATTTGAAAGTGAAAATGCATTTTTTCTCACGACTGGTTTAAGCCGTGGCTCAGTAATCACCTGATGGCAGGGGTGGGGGCCAGCCAGGATGAAACGGGACTCATGTGTCTCGTGGAGAGGGTAAGCTGCGTTGGATGTGAGCTCTTAAAGTAGCCACAGGACAAAGGAAGGCGTGCTCAGTGCTGGCCTGGCTGAGTGGGCCAGGCACCAGGACCACAGGTGTCCCCGTGGGACACCACACCTTCAGGGCATGGAGGCTCGTGTTTCTCACTAAGTGGATAACGTCAATAAAGGAGGCTGCAACTGAATTGATTGAATTTTACCAGAATGATGGTGGAGAAGGCAGCCATAGAAATCTAACCTAATACATATTTATGGGCCCGTTTGCCCCCAATCCTGCTTTCTTCCATCTCACCAGCAGACGACAGATGGGATGTAGAATATCTGTGTCAGGATCTTTTGTTCATAAAGCCTCTTGTAAAATTTGTGATGTAGCGCTGGGCGGTCGTCTGACGCTCCACGTCGGAAAAGCGGGCCCCAGCCCCTTGGGCTGCTTGGACTCCTTCCCAACGTACCTGCAGACACACAGGAGCCACCAGGTGACCCTTCCCGAGGATGGAGCCACTCCCGCGTCCCTGCTCCACATGGTGGTCTCTGAACTCCGCCCTCCCTGAGCATCACCGGCTGCTCCCTCGTCCCCTCCCCACCGGGCCCCGGGTGCAAGTTCACTTACACCTGGACATGCTTCACCTCCGTCCTCAGAGGACTTTCCTGCCTTTTTTGAAGGCTCATTCACTTACTAAAAGTGTGACTTTCATAGTTAAATGAAATTCTCACCTGAGGACACTTTAAAAAAAATCCTCACCAGAGGATATTTTTCTTGATTTATTTTTAGATAGAATTGGAGGGAGGGAGGGAGAGAGATAGGAAAACATCCATGTGAGAGAGAGACATCGATTGGTTGCCTCCTGCACTACCCTGACCGGGGCTGGGGATCAAACTTGCAATCCAACTACAGTGCCCTTACCTTAACCGGGAATCGAACCTGTGGCTCTTTGGTCCATGGGCCGATGCTCTAACTGCTGACCCAAACTGGACAGGGCTGAGGATACTTTAAAAAAAAAAAATTGATTTAAGCTGGGCCAGTGTGGCTTAGTGGTTGAGTGTCGACCCTGCACCAGGAGGTCACCTGTTCTATTCCCAGTCAGGGTACATGCCCAGGTTGTGGGCCCGATCCTCAGTGAGGGGCATGCAGGAGGCGGCCAATCCATGTTCTCTCTTGTCCATGTTTCTATCTCTCTGTCCCTCTTCCTCTCTCTCTAAAATAAATAAAAAATTTTAAAAATTTATTTCAGAAAGAGAGGAGGAGGAGGAGAGAGAGATCAGTGTGAAAGAAACATGTATTGGCTGCCTCCTGCACGCCCCCCACTGGGGATCAAGCCCACAACCTGGGCATGTGCCCTAACTGGGAATAGAACCGGGACCTCTCAGTCCATGGGACGATGCTTCATCCACTGAGCCACACCGGCCAGGCCTGCTGGCGTTTTTAGTAAGAGTGTTTAATGCTCTATCTGTCCTGCCATCTGGCCAGAAACTACATCTTTCTTGTCTTTCTGAGAGGGTGATAATGTTTCGGCAATGGGTCTGAGTTTATGTACATCCATTAAAGACGCTGACATGATGTGGATCAACCCTTGGAAACTGTTACCAATGAATTAATGAGGAGGAAGGGGTAGAAAACTGGAAATGTAGATTTTGACCAACTTCTTCAGCCTTTTCAAATCTCATAAATAGTACAGTGGCCCCTCCTTACGGGGGATATGCTCCAAGACCCCCAGTGGGTGCCTGGTGCTGAACCTGAAATGTACTGTTTTCCCTGTGTACACGCCTGTGACCCAGTTCAGTGTATAAATGAGGCACCGTAAGAGATAAACAACAACAACGTAATGAGATAGACTGTAGCACATCATGAGGATGTGGCTTTATGAAGTGGAATCGGGGTGACCTGAGCACAAGCACTGATTCCTCGATGGTCCATCTGATGAAGGAGGTGGCTAAGTGGCCGATGGGTGGGGTAATGTTGACAGGATGGACAGAGTGCTGGACAAAGGGGTGGTTCTCATCCGAGCAGAACCGACGGGCAGTGTGAGATTTTATCCTGCTGCTCAGAGTGGCACACGATTTAAACGTATGGTTCATGTATTTCTGGAATTTTCAGACCATGGTTAACCAGGGGCAACCGAAAGTGCAGAAGCAGAGCCGTGGATGGGAAACTGGAGTGAAGAGAGGAAGTGAGCCTCGTTCCTCAGTACAGAGATGTTCTTAATCCATAGTTTCCTCCTGATGAAGATAATGAACCCAGAAAGAGTCTTTGTCTGCCTTTCTTCACATCAGGTAGTCCCCCAAATATGCAACAGCTTCCTGCCTGCCCACAAGTCGGATGTTTTAGAATATCTCTACAAAAGAGCATCTGTAAAAAACAAAATAAGATGAACACGGACCTTATTTTCCAAAGGATGTCACAAGTATGAATAACGTTGAAGTAACACAGGCCCTAATCCAGGTTATCTGAACTCTTCAATTTCTTTATACATTTCTCAAATGTCAGTCTTCCATGGTGACCAACAACAAGTTAGCAAAGTACAAAAAGCAAGCTGAGCTTCTCAAATAAAACGAAAACTAGCCTTCAATTCACAGATATCGTCTGTGACGGCAGCAGCAAGGTAAGTCCAGGGCTTCACTATGAAAGGAGAGAATACCTTCTTCCAGTTACCTGGGGCTCCAGGTCACAGAGGCTACTACCTGGGGACAGGGACAGAAACACACCAGGGACCCAAGAGTGTATAGTAAAGACATCGTACTTTCTTGTCCTTGTGTTGTTTGATTTGGGGAAGTCCAGCAATTACTTGAGAAGCTATAGCTCCTGGAGAAAGATATAAACTTGACTGAAAAGGAAAAAGTAAGGACCAGCCCTACCTAAAGAACAGCAATGCAAACACACACACCTCTGAGGAGAGGCTGGCATGAACCCTGAGGGGGAAATGCAACATTTTGGGATGCTGTATGATGTCACTTTTATATCGAATTTTTTTAGAAAAGCTCAGACTGTGGTTGGCAGAGGTGGAGGGGGGCTGGAGGAAGCTGGACAGAGGTACAGACTCAGTTGGGATGACAGGTCCTAGGGCGAACACTCTGCGTGGACAGTTGGTGCAAACACTCTGCGCGAACACTTGGCAGTGGACACCACATGGGGACACAGGAGGGTCCAGAGAGGAAACCCCGAGCTTCTCATCACAAGGAGAATCGTCGTCCTTTTCCTTTGGTTGTTCTGTCCTTGCTGTTGGATCCGCCTGAAGGTGGAGTTAGCAGACCTACTGTAGTTGTCCATGATGCGTGTGGTCAGACCAGCAAGCTGTCTGCCGTGAACGTACGCGGGATGGGTGTCCATTATTTCTCAACACAACGGGGGTACTGATTCCTGGGTCCATGCCCTCCTATCACGTGGGGTTTCTGGGGCGAGGCCTTGGGAGTTTAGAAGCCCAGGGGTTCCCATTGGTGCCAAGATCGAGAACTGCCTAAGTACCAGTGCGCAGCAATCCATGCGGTTTCTCCTGAAATGCACTTTGCTGCAGGTTTTTTCATTCCGATAACCCGTCAGTATCTTGGGCATCAGGATGGGACCCTCTGGGCTGAGAGAGGAACCTTGTTTTGTTTCTAAGCCGTACTGGACGCGTGGCCCGGTGGGTGCCTTCGCCCCACCCCAGGTCCCCGCTGCAGGAAGTGACCTCAGGGTGCTCCTTATGCAGGAAGTAGCTGCTGATCGGCACAGTGAGGGCACCAGGCCGGAAGCCCCTCGGTGGGCAGGTGTGAAATCTCTGCCCACTGGAAGGATGGAGTCTAACCAGGTCAAAGACAGACGCCCAGCGCAAACTGCACCACAGCCGTCTGGGAGCCTGATGACCGCTCCCCAGTCCGCTGGGATCCCTGCCTCCCGACCGCCTTGTGGCAAGTCCCCCACTATGAGGTGGCCCGAGTGAGCCTCTAACCTTTGGAGCCCCTGGGGCCCATCATGCCAAGTCAGGGATCCCCTGCGGGACCCAGAGCATGACCGGCCCCTGTGCCCTGAGCTTTCAGTGACGCTCACAAGCTCTTTGAGGGCCCAGCCGTGAGGCGCCTCCTGGGCCGCACCTGTGCAGGCTGTGGTCCTCACTGTACGCCCGGTGGAGCTGGCTGGGCTGGACGCTCCCGGAACAGCCAGTCATGCGTCAGTCCCGCCAGGACTCTTTCAAGGTCATCGGGCTGCAGGGTGCGAGCCTCAAGAGTCTCCTGCCTTGTCCTTCCTGCCAAAGAAATGGAAGAACTTCTGCTGGAGTTCAGGTAGGACCTCGGGTCGCCCCTCAGAGGACCCGCAGGAAAACGCAGGAGACGTCCAGCAGGACGGGCTGCAGCTCCGGCCGCCGTTGAGCAGGTTCCCAGGCTGGCTCCCCTCCTCGGGGGTAGTGCATCCCTCGTGGCCGCCAGAGGCGGGGCCCCAGCCCCCTGACCACACCTCTGGGCACATGCGCTGCCCCCTGGGGCCAAGCAGCTGGCCCTCCTCGTCCACTGAGAAGGATCAGGGTCTGAGTCCTGCTGCTGGACTGAGCCACCACCTTGTCCTGACTCAGGATCTTGAACAGGCCAAAGAGGAGCCACAGGGTGACAAGCCGTTGTGCAGCCTCTGCCCAGAGAACCCCCGACTCCATGAGAGTCTCCCTGTTTCCTCCGCACTGTCGGCTGATTCTCCTTCTAGGTCCCCAGAGAGGGGCTCCCCTTAGACGCAGGGTCTGTGCCTCTCGGGGTTCGCTCTTCTCGCCAGCCCTGTCTGTGGCATCATAGCTGATTTTCAAAAACTCTTGATTATTTCAAAAGTTTCTTCTTTGTGGGTCAAAGGATGTGTGGCCATGTTCTCGGGTCACCCAGAACCAGAAGACAACCAAGAAGCAGACCCGAGTGAGGGTCTGGAGCCCGCAGTTCTGACGGCTGCATTTCCTCCAGGCCTCACTCCCACAGCCCTGCGCCAGGGGCCGGGGGGCCTGTGGTGCGCAAGGAGGGCAGGTGGGCAGGGCTTGTGGCTCAGAGAAGACTCTGAGCAGTGGTCCTCGGATGCCAGGAAAGAAAGACCATGGAGCCCCGAAGACAGCACAGCTCTCCGGCCCGGGCAGCGGCACCCCAAGTGTCCATAGGAGGTTCTCTGCTGGGTTCTTTTCTGGGTGACCTGTGATCAACGGGCTGCTCATGTCCTCCCAGCTCACAGAAGAGCTGCACCAAGAACTAGAGCTCCGGCGGTCACACACGGCCGTGTGCTGTGGCCTGGCCGTGCGGCTCGGTCTCCCCATCTGGATCCCAGGAGACTCGGAAGGCATCCGTGCGGGCCCAGTTCCTCCTGCCAGCCCGCCTGAGCCTTTCCTGACCGCTCTCGGCCCTCTGGGAGGAAGACAGTCCTGGGAAACACGGTTTGTCTTCCATGCTCACAGTGTCTGGCTGTGTGTCTGTCCTCGGTGCCATATGCAGATTCCCGGGTCCGCGTCCCTCTGTCTACTTTTGTTCTCACAAGTGCTCTCAAGCACTTGGCACACGGAAGCCGAGGGCTCTCTGGAAATCCACGTGCCTGAGCAGGATGGTTTGTCCGGCCCACACCGGAAAGCCCCCTGGCACGTAAGACCCGTCCTCTGCTTTTGGAGGTGATCCTTCACCTGGGTGACAATGCACACGATTTCCCCGCCGAGAGACTGGCTCTGTCCTGGGGGCGTCTCCCGTCACACCCAGTCACGTGGTCAGGTAGAAAGGAGGAGGACACGAGGACTTCAGGACTCAGTGAGGGGCGGAGTCTCGTATCTGAGGTCACAACCAGAGTCATTCCTGAGAAGGGACCAGTCTTTCACGCCTACTGTGGCTTGAGAACCATCGGCCAACCTCTCCGTGGAGAGCACAGCCCCCGAGCAGGGCTGTTCACAGAACTTACCATCCGGAAGGGATGTTCCGGGGTAGGAAGGGACTTTCTGGACGCTTCACTTACGCTGGCTTCCACCACGTGGGAGGGGCCCAGCCGACAGACGTCTGTTTCTCCCTCAGTGGGGAACGTACTCATTTAGCTGCTTGTCCATCCCTCCTTCCAGGGGCCTCCGAGTGCCTGGTGACCCGGCCCCTGGGACTTCTCACTCCCTCTGCCAGGGCACAGAGGCCTGCTTCCTGCCCCTGGAACCAGCTGGGACAGGGCCCACTTCAGGCTCTACTTGCATTACTCTGGTCTGCCCCTGTCTGTTTACCCTTCACCTCTCCATGGCTCCCTGCTCCAGTGTGACTGTCGCTAAGGCCTCCCCAACCCCTGCTCCATCGTGCGGGACAGACACCTGGCCGCTCCGCGCTGTTTCCAAAGTGGGTCACACACTCGCTCTTTGCAATGGGACCTTTACTAAAGCCTGGAACTAGGGCCCATTTCCCTCCTCCTCCAGCCAAACTGCCCCTGTGATCTGTGGGCCCCACAGGATGTGGAGGAAGGGACGCTGTGCCTTCTGGTCGGCGTTCATGGGTCTGACTGAGCCTTCTCCCCTGGGAACCAGCCCTGGTGTGTCAGGAAGCACAGGGTGCCCACGGAGCCCACGCCGGCCGACGGAGCCCCAGTCACAGCCAGCCCACCCGTGTCGGGGCCCAGCTTCCCAGCCAACGCGACAGAAGAAAGGGGTGACCCGGTGAACTCCCGCTGTAGGTGCTGTTTTGATTTGTACGTGGTTCTCCTATTACCTTCGTTTCTCAGATGAGGAAATGCAGACGCTGGTAACGGCCGAGAGTGTAAGCCCGGATCTGCACTCTCAGCCAAGTGACCCCAGAGTCCGGCATTTCAGTGGGTGGGCACAGTGCGGGTGTGTCACTGCGGGTGTGCACAGTGCGTGTGTGCCAGAGTGTGGGTGTGCACAGTGCGGGTGGGTCACAGTGAGGGTGGGTCAGAGTGTGGGTGGGCACAGTGCGGGTGGGCACACCATCTCACCTCCCGCCTCTCTTGAGAGTAGTAAGCAGTTTTATTTTTTATCCTCACTCGAGGACATTTTCCCATTTTTTTGTTCAGGTAGAGTGGGAGGGAGAGAGAGGAACAGAGAGAGAGAGAGAAACATCGATGTGAAGGGACACATCGAGTGGCTGCCACCTGCACGACCAACCAGGGCCGGGGACAAACTGCAACCGAGGTACGTGCCCTTAGCGGGAACTGAACCCGGGTCTCTCAGGACCGCAGGTCGACGCTCTAACCGCTGAGCCAAACCGGCCAGGACGAGAGTAGTAAGCAGTTTTAGTCTTTGTCTAAAAATGTCTATTTTCTCACTTACAAATGATAATTTTTGCTGGGTATAAAATGCTAGATCGAAAGCTATTTTGTCTTAAGTTTTTGGAGATTCTTGACTGTGTTGTTGCTGGCAAGATGCATTTGCAAGTCTAAATATGTACTTAATCAGTCTTTTCTCTGTTTCCTTTCAGATTTCCTCTTTGTTTGATTTTTTAAAAATAGTGTACTGTACTGTGTCTAGGTGATTTTTTTAAAGAAAAGTTTTCTTCAGTGGAAAGACATGTTTTTCTCCAGTTCTCAGTAAGTTCTACTGTGCTTAGTGCTTTTTCCATTCTATTCTCGGAATTTTTTAAACATCTTTGTCATCTTCTCATCCACTTACCTCTGTTCTTCCTTCTTGTGTTTTCTTTGATACAATGTCCAGTTCTGCAGTTTTCTCTCACACTTTCAGACTTGTTTCCGGCAGGTCGGTCAGGGCGTCAGAACACCTGAGAAACTGGCCCTGGGGCATCATCTTCATTGCAAGGTGGCCCCAGGTGGGCAGGCGAGCACGTGTGCCCCCTACAGACCCTCCCCTCTAGTCACGGGAGCCCAGAGACCTGCAGCCCAGGTGCTCTGTGTTTTAGCTCCTGAAAGGTCCATGTGCTTCTTTTTTAAATCAGTGGATTCATTTTCTTCCCTGTTGTGCCTTAAGCTTAGCAGTTTGACCGCTAGTCTCCCAGGTTGTTATTCTTGCACTTCTGTGACTTCTGTGGCTGTTTGGAGCGGCTTTTCCTTGTGTGCTCTCCTCCCTGTGTCCCGTTTCCTCTGGGTGCTCACGAACTGTGGCCCCGGGGCCTCGGCAGGCCGTCCTCTGGGCCCTGGGCTTCTCTGGAGCCATCGTCACCTCACCTCCTGGGCCCTGGAAATCTCCGTCCTGAGCCGTTCTTTCTTAATCAGTTGTTGGGGATCCCTGGGGAGAGGGAGGACTCAGACTGGACGGCTCGTGGGCTGCAGCCTCGTTTCATGGCCGTGCAGGCCTCTGGGAGTCCCAGCTTCCCACAGGTGTTTCGTGCTCACGCAGGCCCCAGGCCCGTGTCTGGCGCCTACACAGGTTGGCCAGTTGGGCCCTTCCCTCGGGACTGGCCGTGTGTCGCCCCCGGTGGGTGTCACAAGCAGGAGCCCGCTGTTCTGGTGGCGACCCCTGCTGTCTCCGGCACTCAGGCACGAACTCACCGTGTCTGTGCAACGGGAGAAGGTCTGCACTTGTCAGCCTGGCCCGTGGATGGACCTGGGGTCTGGACCTTCACCTGCGGCGGGACAGGTGTTGTCTCCCAGGCCCAAGGCAGGCTCCATGGGCCCTGACGCCCAGGCTGCTGGCTTCCTGGCCTTTGGGAAGTGTTTTGGGGGGACAGGAGGACGTGCTGTCCCCCATGAGGAGGCGACCCTCCTGCCTGTGCCCAGGTGTCCTGAGTGCTGCGGGCTCTCCTGTCCTGCCCGGGCAGCACCGCTCCGGCCCCTCCCTCTCGAGATGCTGGTGCTGACACACAAGCACCAGCTCCGAGGCTGGGTCTGGGGCGCTTCTGAGAGAGTCCCAGGGGACAAGGCACCCCAACTCATCTCAGACCATGCCATGTGAGCAGATGGCTCCTGATGCCATGGAGGCTGGCTCGTCTCAGACACTCTGTGGAGACAAGTCCGTGGGACAGTCAACAGAGCAAACCCAACACACCAGCAAGCAAATCCAAAAACATGGGTTTGGCCACATAAACAAAGGTGTCCACGCATCTGCCCCCACCGGACCCCATGGTCGCAGCGATGCCACGACGCCTGTGCCCGCCCATCACTGCACCTCCTGCCATCGGAAGGAGCATCCGCCGTTAGGGTCCCTCCTACTCAATATGGCAAAGTCCCCAGATCTGGGACCTGGACAGGAACTTTTCCTTCAGGTCCACTCTTTCCCTGCAGTCCCTCCAGAAAGTGAGGCCCGGCCGCGAGGGCATGAAGGCGGAGGGGCCCGCGTGCCCTGGCCGCTGTCCCAGCCCCCTCTGCCCAGCGGTGTCCCCTTGCAGTTGGTGCAGCTCCTTGTCGGAGGAAATGAAGGTATCTCAACCTCTCAAAGACCAGTCATCACCACAGTAACAAGAGCTAAACCCAGTTTTAGAACGAGCCAGTCCTGTTCCTGGGAAGGGCAGCGTCCACTGGCCTCAGCCCCCCTTGAACCAGAACAGCCACGTGTTTCCAGCCCCCTCGTTAGAAGTGATTTAAATACTAATTGGAGAGTCCCGCGGAGGGGGCTTGGCTGGAGCAGGGAGGCCCCACACCCCCACTTACGAAGTCACAGAACGTGGTCTGTTCCCCTTTTTGTCCCCAGCGACAGGGGGAAAGGGGCACTTGAGGTAAGTCAGGACCAGAACCGGGGCTGATGGGAAACCCTCCAGTTACCCCGTGTGCCTGCCCAGTGTCCTCCAGAGAGGAGACGGGCAGCTAAGAAGAAGCAGAATTCTAATCTGCTTTCTAAAGGCTCTTGGTCAAAAGCACAGCAGTTCAGACCCCCCCCCCCCCGAAAGCCGCAAGACAGACCTGTCAGAAGACAAAAGCTCCAATTAGTATTTTCCACACCCTTTCACGATTTTCTCTGCTGCTCTGGCTCTGGGTCCCTTTATGCCGGGTCTTTGTGCGGGGGTGAGGCGGGCAGGCTGCGTCCTCGGGGTCAGGGCGCCTCGGGGCGGCCCAGGACCAGGGCGGGGTGTGCCTACCTGTGCCGAGCGACACGTGGGCCTGGTGAGCGACCAGCTGCGGGGCCATCAGCGTGGGGGGGCCACAGCCCGTGTAGCCCTCTGGGCACCTGCAGGAGGGGCCGGTCGCTCAGGAACAGGATGGCCCAGCGGTGGCACAGTCCCGGGCGAGGTGGAGGCCTTCAAGGACACCTGGAGGACAGGCAGACACGAGACAGCGAGGCCTGCGCCTGCCCCGCAGAGAAGGTGTCTGGGACCAAGCCCAGCCCTCCAAGTGTTTTCATGAGACAGAAAACACTGTACGAGGTGACTGAGCGGGAAGAAAAAAATAAGTCCAATTTAGCCGTGGAATAAACAATATTTCTTGCCTTCCATTTCCCTATTCCATTCCTATTGTTAGACGAGTGATGAAAACGTCCTTCCAAACAGCACAAGGGTGACGTGGAAAGTGCCCTTTGTGTCCGGGGGAGGAGGCTGACTGGCGGGCGAAGGACCTGGGCTGTTGTTTCTCTTGGGAACAAGCTGCCTGAGGAGACGGGATTCCTCTCCGCGCTTGCCCGCCCGGTTCATCTGGAAAGCGATCCCATCTGAGGCTCTGCTCGGCCCAGTGATCCCCGGGACTGAACACAGGCCCCTCTGCTCGAATCCAAAGTCTCTCTCCCAACGTCGCATTACCAGAACCAGCGGTGACGTGTGATCCAAGCCTTTTGTTAAACAACCTCTCTCCACCTCCTGAACCCAGGAGAACGGAGGTTTATTTATCAGGTCTTGCCCAGGACCCGACCTCACCGGCATCCCTGCCTTCGAAGAGCCCGGCTCCCCACTCCGTGCCAGCTCGAGGCTAAGTGAAGAGCACCCATTGGAACCTGGCTCCCTGGCTCCCTGGCTCCCTGGCTCCCTGGCTCCCTGGCTCCCTGGCCTGGCTTAGGACAAAAATGAACGTACAGATTTGAACTAGGAAACACAGAGGACTTGCCGGCTACAGGCTGGAGAGAGGCAGAAAGTAGGGTGGGGCTGAGACACACTGATGCCTCACCAGGCTGAAGACCCCGGAGCGACACCGGCGCAAACGCCCCTTCTCTTCAGTGCGGTCGCTCGAGTCGTGGGTGTGCTTTCCGTCCCACGTGCCTTCACAATAACGTGTGTGCCTGTCTGCGCGTGTGTGCCAGCCTCTGCTCCCGCCACCAGACAACCTCACTGAACGGGGATGCTCGGCGTTCTGGGGTACGCCGCTAACCGTCCACCCGAAGAAGGCACACTGCCTGGGAGCAGGTCATTCGTGCGACATTCACAGAACAGATTCAAAGATGGGACAGCGCCCTGGCGGGCGGCTCGTTGGAGGGGCAGCGTCCCGGACACCAAAGGTTTCAGGTTCAGTCCCCGGTTGGGGCACAGGTGAGAGGCAACCAGCCGATGTTTCTCTCTCTCTCTCTCCCTTCCCCTCGCTCTGAAATAAATAAGCGTATCTCCACGCAAGGACTTAAGAATGGAAAGGAATGGATGGCTTCACGTCTGCCCGGCTCTGCTGGACGAGGTCAGCGTCCGAGGGCGGGTCCCTCCTCCGCGGGGCACGCGGGGCCCTGGGCCCTGGTCGGCCGCCTCTGCAGGACCGGCCGAGCCCCGGCGGCTCCCAGGGCCCTGTGACCACGTTCGATTTCACGGCAGGAAGATCAAGTGCGGAAACCGAGGCTGAGCGGCTATGGGACTTTCCACAGCTGCAGAGTTGAAGGTCAGGCTCAGGAAGGGACTCGCGTCTGCCTTTTGTCATCTTTTTTTATGGTCAAAACGTAAGAGTCACCACCTGGACCACTTACCAGCAGACGGTCAGCAGGGTCGAGAGTATCCATCGAGGTGACTCAGTCGGCAGAACCGCTCATCAGCCAACGCGGGCTCTGCACCCGCCGACGGCGCCCCTGGAGACCAGCATTTCACTTCCTGTGTCTGCGAATCTGACACTTTAGGGACCTCACCTAAGCAGATCGTACAGTATTTGTATTTTGTGGCTGGCTTACTTCACTGAGCATGATGTCCGCACATCCACGCGCACGCAGCTTGTGACAGGATGGCCCCCCTTTCCAGGCTGAGTGATACCCCACCGAGTGGCTGGGCCACGCTCTGTGTGTCCACTCGCCCACTGATGGGCACTCGGGCAGCTTCGGCCCCTTCTACCGCGACAAACGCTGCGGTGAGCGCCGGTGCGCGGCTGTCCGGGGACCCTGCTCCCAGTTCTTCCGCACGTTTACCCAGCAGTGGCTGCTGGTCCCAGGGCAGGTCTAACTTTGACTTTCTGAGGAGCCTCCACACTGTTTTCCGGAGAAGTCGCCCCATTTTATAATTCTCCCCAGCAGCGCACAGACCTCCAGTGTCTTCAGTCGGCAGAGGAACTCTGGTCTCCCCAGCTCAGTTCTTCTGCTTCCCTCCCGTGGTCGGACCCAGGACATTCTGAGCAGCGTCTAATCCGGACCTAGAAAGCTGGCTCCCGGAGCAGGGGCTAACGCACCCCTCACTGACCCCGAAGTCGCTCTGAGGGACCCTGAGAAAATACGAAGAGATAAAACACTGACCCCCCAACCATCCCAATCGAACAGCACCTTCTTGTCATGTATTTAAAAATAAGTGAAAGAGAAGGAAACTTTTCAGGAGGTGTCTTTACTTATCCCGCAGGGAAAGCTGGTGACGCGAGGACGCACGGTGACTGGTGATCGGGGGGCTTCCTCCCCTGGGCATTGCCACGTGCTGCACACACCTGGTGAGACGGCGGACCCTCGACGGCTGGTCCCTCCTGGCGGAGGAGACGGAAGGTCCCTGGAGTTCTCGTCAGCTTGTTGGGGGGACAGAGCTTCGGGCTGGAGGGACACGCGATGGGCGGGCCACAGGGGGCAGGAGGCTGCAGCCTGCACCGCAGCAGGAGACCGTGCTCACAGGGGTGTGCGGGCCGGCATCCCTTCAGCAGAGACAACTCACCCCCAGGAGGAAGGCTCGTGGCCCGACCTGAAAGCTTAGAAGCCAACTTGGAAAGAACAAATGTTTTCTAAACTGACTGGGTCTCAGAATAAGGCTCAGGAATATGTACAGACAAACAAATTGTCCCCTGTGTACAAGATACAACTGACAAGGTCTCGCACCCGGACAAGGATTACAAGGCCTGAGAGACGCCCATCATGCAGAGGCAAAGGAACCGGTAGAAACTGACCCCGAACTATTTTGTAAGGTGGGATCAGGGACATGGGAGACATGAAAACGGGTCCAAATTAAACGTCTAGAAATAGGCCGCGGTGCCTGAGGAGGAGCCGGGCCCTGCGTTGGCTCCTGGCCCCGCTGGGTTTCCCAGCTGTCGGCGTTTGTGACGTCATCTGTGAAATGGGATCATTTCTACGTGCTGTGCTGCTTCAGGCTTGGGGGAAACGCAGCGAATGCTCAGAGGCTGGCACATTGTCGGTGCCAAGCAAAGGGCAGGGGGCGCGAGGGAGAAGCAGGAGACGGTCGTCCAGGCAGTCTCTTGTCGCGTGCAACCACCAGCCACAAGCAAACACGGCCTCCTACATTAGCATCCAAGAAGTTTGCAATAAAGTAAAAAGAAAACAATAGGCATCGACGCCTATTAGGCTTGTCTCAGAGAATGTCTCAATCTCCAGTTTTAAAAAATACCCTTGTCCTGTCCACCCACTCTGAGGAGTGAGGCTCCTGCACCCGGAGAAGAAAGGCTGGGGCACCCTCTCCCCTGCAGGTGGGCGGCTCTCGGCCGAGTCCAGCAGGGACCCGCCCGCCGCACCTGTGAACAGGCGACACACACACCCCGCGCCTCGTGAACACGCAGCATCTCCGAGCGGAGAACATGGCTCGTCTGTTTTCCCCCTTCTGTTCTTAATAGATCGGAGCACAAAAGCCCGAGAGAGGGTGACCTGCCAGACAAAGGCCCTTTGAGCTCCTTGGAAAGTAGACTTGGAGTGGATGGAAGGGGTCCAAGTGGCCCTATTATTTCCACTTGCACTAATTAGACATTTTTCTGTCAGCCACTGAGCACTGCTGAGAGGCCAAACTCGCTGAATTCATTTCTAAAGTGTTTACAGAAGTTTGCATCTGTTTGTGTCTCTTCAGGAGGAAAATAAGCACTTCAATAGCATTGTGGGAACCCTGAAGGGAGCCGTTCTGGAGGGCCTGGGTCCCACAGCTGCATAACTTAGCTCCCTCCCCGCCGGCCCAGCAGGACGCAGGGGGTCAGCCCTCCGGGCTCTGTCCTGTCTGGCCACTGGCTTCTCTCCCTTTCTGACTGCAGATCTGAGAGGTTTCACTCATGGGCTAGTGGCTCCCTGAGAAATCAACACCCACTTTCATTTGCTGCCAAGGGTGGGGCCGCACATTCCTCAGCAGCAAAGCAGACTCAGCAGCGCCCTGGGAACACCCCCAGGGAAGCCGGGAGCCCTCTGACTGCAGCCAGGAGCAACGGAAGGGGCCCCAGACCGTCAGCAGGGGGGACCCCAGGGGCTCTGCACCGTCAGATGAACAGAAAGAGAGCCCCGCCCCCAAAAGGCAGGGAAGAAAACACAAACTGCAGCCCACCCTCCGCAGGGCGGCCTGGGAAACACGGGCCCTCCGCGTGGATCCGATGGGTTCTTTCTGGTCCGGTGCAGGCCCATGGCCGGCCTGCCGTCACTGAGGGCTGGGGAGTACGGCCTCGCGCCGGCTGGCAGCTCCGTGGTGGGAGAGTCGTCCTGCACGCCAGAAGGCTGGGGTTCCATTTCTGGGCAGGGCGTGTAGCCGGGCTGCAGGTTCGATCTTCAGTTGGGGTGCACAGCAGAGGCAACAGGTTGATGTTTCTCTCTCACATCGATGTCCCTCTCTCTCTCCCTCCCTCCCTCCCTCTCTCTCTCGAATCAGTAAACATATCCATGGGTGAGAATTTAAAAAAGAACAAAGTATGACTTTTTCAGACAGTGTCACAGTAACAGAATTCAGTGTTGACCGGATGACTCAAGATAAAAACGAACAGGAAAGCAATTCCTGTACCCTTCTCGGCGCTGACTCCGGAGGAGCCGGTCCCCCGCCGCCCAGCGTGCTCTTCCGGCTGAGGGACCGGCTCAGTCGGTGAGGGAGGGAGGTGGTGTCCCCAGGCACAGCCGCGGCACACGCACCACACACCACCCCCTTCGCCTGTCCCCGGGATGGAAATTTGGGCTCTAGTTGAATCCAAGGCACAAGGGGAACGTCAGGGCTGGGAGGCTGGGTCAGGTGGTAAAGGAATTAAACTCCACAATGAGATTTCAATACACAGATGATTGAAAAAATGCTAATGAGCCTTTCTAAGGGCTCTTGCCGACAGCAGCAAGGAGGAGTGTGCCGTCCTCATGGCTGCCTGCATTAGTGCCAGCCGTGCCCAGCGCCCAGCGTCCAGCCACGGGCTCCAAGCCGGGGGTGCTCACAGCAATGCAACGGCCGCTGACCCTCGGGGCGGGTAAGCGGACTGCACAGCAGCCACCTGGCATCGCGGGGGCAGGATCATAGGGAAGGGAAGCCAGGGACCGCAGGCCGGCAGGTGAGGACGCCAGCCGTCTCACCGGGCATCTGGACTCCTGGGGTCAGGGGTGCCCCAGTCTGTCTGCCCTCTGACGTGTGAGGGGAGGAGAAACAGGTCGCTGGTCCTGCCTTCACTTCACCGACACAACATGCAGACCAAGCCCTTCTGGAAAACGGTTGCAATCATCTTCTCCACCTCAGTGCCTAAGACAGCACCTTGAATCGCCTCCCCGACTCCTTCACCCCGTCTCCTGTGGGTGACACCGACGACCCGTGTGAAG